ATACGAATTCTACTAATAAGAACAATATAAAACGCACCAAGGATTAATGAGCTACTGGATTCATGAATATTAATCAGGTTGTGTGCGTTCGCTCGAACTGATTTGCTGAAATCAAAACAGGGACGATAATAGGTGAGCACCAGCCACTGAGAGTGTTGTTTGCGCATTAGTTCCGCCCACTACCGGAGAAAGCGGTAGTTCTTAAAAGCTGAAGAATTCCAAAGGAACGCCATTATTTTGACAGCAAAATACAACAAAGAATATCGTTTACATGTAGCGCGTCAATTCTCTCTCTCCCTCTCTCTCTGCGTGTGTGTGAAACAAAGCGACGGCGAGTCGTGCGCCTTCACACTAGAGTTCACGGTACGTTAAACACAGGTGCGTTGCACATCCATTCAGATGAATTGAAAAACAGCACAGATCGCTTGATGGAGAGTGAAACTGAAGCGCTCAGTCAGAGAGTTCTGTGAGTGAAAATATATCTGAGCTAAACTTATACTCAGCCTCCAACTCACACACTGGCGAGTAAAATCTGAGAATTTATTAGCCATTGGCTAATATTAGACATCATTTAGTCGCCCAGAGTGAAGATTTAGTCGCATATGCGAGTGATTTACTCGCAATGTAGAGGGTTGTTTAAGTGATATTTAACATGCAACTCAAACCCACGTAATCATTAGTCCATGTTATGTGCTAAAATCAATCAACAAAAACAGAAGAAAGAAGAAAAAACGGCCAGTTCCAGGTGGTCAGATGACACACAGAGCCCGAGAGCCAATACCACTTAACCAAATTGGAATCCATTCTTCTGAAATGGGCGCTGATAACCACTTGAAAGCCGCCAGGGTTTCACATCTCCGGCTTGTGGCACCCTGTCAAAAACACAGGCTGTCTCCACTTCGTGAAAAAGACAGACGGCTGAAACACTTCACCTAGAGCTACCGGCCGAGACTAAATTAAAGCTTGCGATGGATTCCTGATGTTATTGGCTTGCTGCCAAACCGCAGGCAGGAAAACGCAAGGGGAGCGAATGTTGATAATGTTAAAATTTGGTGGGGGAAAAAACATACATACATACATTCCCTCCCTCTCGCTCTGAAAAGAGATCTGAATAAGCTCAGAGATGGTCATTTTTCCGGTATTCGTGAGAATGGATGGGGGTAAGTGGGGCAAGTCTGCAAACTCACATGGAAATTAAATTACTTTAACAGGTTCATGATTCTGATCTAATCATAAAAAGTAAAATACATAAATAAATAAAATAGATATACATATTTTTGTAGAAAAATGTAAAATTATTGTCTGAATTTTTTTTACAAAATTAAAATGATATATAATGTCTATAATGCATTCAATTACAATAAACTCTATACTATATTTTATTAGGGGTGTGAACCTACACTGGTCTCACGGTTCGGTTCGGTTACGATTATCATGTCATTGATTCGGTTCAATTCGATATCACGATGCATCGACGATGCACTGCATCCTCAATGTTCAATTTTACTTCACATGTATACAATTTTGTCAATAAATACAAGCAGTCAGCTTCAAAGACAGCAAAGACAACAGGCTTTTCAAAATGAAAACAAAAAGAAAAGTAAAACTAAACTGGCTGTTCTAAATTGTCTCAGTCTCTTCACTTGATCAGTGAAATCTGACTCCTGCTACAATGTGCCACGGCTCTGCAGAACGCGCTGTATGAAGCAGATGCTTTGGAGCAGCTTAGACCATGCACTCGCACAAATGCGACCACGTCAAATTTGAACTCGCACATTCTCAAAAATTGGTCGCAGTCTAGAGCCCTGTATATAGGCCGTTCAGATTACTTGTTAAAGTGCAACGAAATACCTTATATCAGCAGACGATATGTGTCTGTGTTTGTGGTTGGAGACTCCTTCACCGGCTACAGGCTCCTCATTTGCGCGCGCGTGTGTGTGTGTGAAATGCAGTGCTGAATAAAAAAGCGGGGCAATTTGATAATAATAGCCGAATTAATGGGCCACCTAATAATAATAATTATTATTATTATTATTTAATACATTAATAGGAGAATGAGACTAATATCGTCTTGACTATCGACAAAGACATCTGCTATCGTCGATATCTCTGACTATCGTCGATACACGATACTATCGTCTATAGGCTCAACCCTAACGTGTATGTGCTCCACTGAACATAGGGCCTTATGCCCCCGTGTGTCAGACTATTCCTGGTGGACGTCTGCAATGTTTTGCATAAAGACAGACACCTCATGAATATACATGATGGCCTAAAACTAATGGAAGCGGTGTCTGGTGGTGAGACACTCTGTAGCACAGCCAATGTTTCTTGTCTGGTGGGCACAACTTAAGTCACCTCTTCTGTATGTGTGGAGCTCTTCTTGCAGCACTTCAGTATGATAGACCTTCGGAATGGCATTTATGTTTTTTACTTTTTTTAAATTAAGTATATGTACTGCTAGGTGTGTCGTGTCATCTAATCTCACTTTTATGGCCATATTTTGTGTGCTTTTGTGGAACAAAATATTACTTGCAAAATCAGGTGCATACAAATCGTGTATCAGATTCTATTTTAAGAACTGCTTTCAATTCTGAGGAAATCCACATCCGAGTTTCCCAAATGTGTGTTTGTCTATGCTCTCCATGATTTCATCTCTTTCCAATTGCATGTGGCACACCAGCAGCTCCTCCTAATGAAGCAGCTCATCTGTGAGCCACAGATAGCGGCTGATGAATTGCTCTTAGCTTTGCTGCATGCCATCTGTGCTAAATGCTCCATTCAGAAGCGTTATCGGCTGGATAATAGTCATTTCTTACATATATCTGTCATGCTAAACAATCCATTTTGCAATATTTTAGTGTTTCTGTATTTAAACCGGCATTACTGTGCATGACGTCACACAGGAGCAGGCAAGGCAAGTTATTTTTGTTTGAGATGAAGAAATGTTGTTCATGGCTTGCAGACTACTTCATAAAACTGATGTTATTCATATGGTTTCAGGCTTTTTGCACCACAACGACTTTTAAGTCTTCACTAAAGCTTGACTGACTTTATTTTGGCATTATTGTTATTAAAATAAAGTCAGTAAAAGGATCCGAACTTCCCATCACTAGTGCCTTGAGTGGAATTTTACAGATTAAGGGGCGGTAATATTATAAAGAGATACCTTTGCCACGTCACCAAGGGAGCGAAATCAGACGCGCTCGTTTTCTCAGATGCTTGCAGAAAAAGGCTTACCTAAACAAAGTGATTGGGTTAATCTTTTTCACGTTTCCTTGGTTGGTAGATGCACCGGGGACCTGATTATAGCACTTCAAACCTGGAAAAGTCAGATTTTCATGATATGTCACCTTTAAGGTTTTATTCATGTTTTTGCTGTATTTTTTATCAAATAAATGTAGTCTTGGTTAGCATAAGAGACTTCTTTCAAAAACATTAAAAAATCCTACTGACCCCAAACTTTTGAACAGTAATGTGTATTTAAAAATTGTAGCAGGGTCTCATATTTCTGGTGAAATGACTGTTATTATTAAAGGTAGGGAGAGGCTAGCAATAGCAAGCTAACTTTGAAAGCATAAGATCCCACCCTTCCTGCAAATCAGTCTCCAAAGCCACGCCTCCTCCAAAACACATGAACACGCACAGGCAGCCCAGAGGCTAATCAGCGACACAGTGGGAGACGTAATGGGAGGAGGACTGAATGCAATGCTGTCAGATTACTGCATGTCCCATTCATGGGTGAGAAATTATTACAGTACAAAGCGTATTATATTACAATAATAATGCCTTCCATTCTCGCTCGGTCTGCAGTAGCGTAATGGAAAGCGCTGATGACGAATCATGTCTGCGCGAACAGGGTGTGCGGAAGTATGCAAATACATACTTTGATTGGTAAGACAGCCAATCGTAGTCCTCGGGCCGAGGAATATGATTGGATGAACATTTTATGGTCCTACGTCTTCCACAGATGATATAAATACATATAAATATATTTAGACCACTTAACTTAGTGATTGCTGTCGGTATGTGAAGAGACTTTCAACCAGCATAACAACAAATGTTTTTGAACCAAATCACCTGCGCTTCCTTTAAGTGTGTCATCACTATTGCAATAGGGAAGTTACACTCATGAAAGTAGGTTTTTATAAAGTTATACCCTGATGTCTTTATACAAATCCAGACCTGTCACATGACACACAGAAACTATGGAGTACTTTTTTTCTACTCCTACTGCTTGGCAGTAAACAGCATGCATGAATGTCATTTATTTTCTGTCCATGTCTCTGATCAACAATAAATGCAGGAGGAAAGATTTATTTCTGTTCCACTTATTGGACCCGCTTGTTATTCCACCTTCACTTGAGCAGCTTTTCATACTCACTTTTCGAGTAATTAAGTGATTATGACACCTCTCTCTGTTCTAATCTTCTCTCTCTCGTTTTCTTTATCTCGGTAATCAGTAGACCTATCATAAACGACTACCCATCTGTCCTCTGTGACAAATTTTCGCTTAAATCATTGAATCCGTTCCCTGTGCTCTTGCCTCATTTTGTTTATCACTGTAATTCAATAATTGGAATGTACCTCTGTCTCTCTCTCCTTCTGTTCTCTGTTTGTCTGTGTAATTATGTGATCTCTCAGTCTGTGTCTGTGTAATTAAAGGACTGCATGTGGAAACTCTCAGTGTGTCTTGAGTGTGTGTGTCTTAATGGGCAGGTTGCTATATGACACTAAGGTCCTGTCTGCATCTTTCTAATTATATGATGCCAATTAGGCCTCCTTTTTTATCTTGTTACTTTGTGCTTTCTAGCTCCTCATGTTCTCCTGTGTCTCTTTGCAGTCTTTCATTCTCTCTCTCGCCCATTTGTTGTAATGGATGCACTGGTCTGTGGTTCTCCTTCATTTCTTAGCCTAACTGCATTAATTCACTCTCTCCCTCCCACTCTCTCTCTCTCTGTCTCTCAGTATTGGTCATAATGAGGTGATCGGGATGTGCCGTATGGGCAGTGATGCTGATGGACCGGGAAGGGAGCACTGGACAGCCATGCTGGCGAATCCCCGCAAGCCTATTGAACACTGGCACCAGCTGGTGGAGGTAGACAGCGTGACCGCATGGCGTGTGTGTGTGTGTGTGTGTGTGTGTGTGAGCGAGCATGTGAAAATCAATCAATGTGTGCAGTGTGTTATTGTGTATAGGCAGTGTTCTCTATACAAGCCAAGTCCTTGTTAAAATGCCTTTAACCTTCACACCTGATACCTGTTCGTCAGTAAACACCATTCAAGGTTCACTTGTCTTAAAAAAGACTATGGTTGTCAAAAGTATTTATTTAGGTTTTTATTTGCCCACACACCCTGTAAAGTGTGCTTGCACCTCACGGTCAAATGCAGTTTTAGTTAAAATCCCCATCTGGGTGAGATATTAATGTAGTTATTGTCTCTATTATTATTATTTTAATGTAGAAAAAGGGATGTGTGCATTAGACCTTGTAGTGTGAATACAGTCTAATACAGTTGCTGTGGTCTATTATGTTGACAGCATTAATCAGAAAACATTGACACGAAAAAGAGCAGACCACTTACTCGCTGACTGAATAATTCACATCAATGCTTCATTAATTGAAAAATACTTAAAACTACATTCTTTTGTTTTCATTTAATTTGTTAATACAGTATTGAAATAATTCAATAAAACTTTGAATATTGCTGTGGTATTGAAATTGTGAAACCAGATTTTCACTGGTATTGGTATCAGCTACTAAAATTTTGTTTAAAAAAAGACTAAAAGAAAATCTAGAAAGAAAGAAAACCTAAATCGAAAAAAAAAGAAAACCTTTCTGTTAACTCTTTCCTTGAAGCCTGTATATATAATGCATTAAAATAAAGGTATTCGTAATGCACGATAATACATTTATAATGTCCTATAATAGACCTTATAATCTTAATTAGTATAACACTTATCTTTCTTGTGGTTATATAAAATAAGAGTTTTATGTAAGGGCTAATGTATTACACATTAAATCTCAACAGCAGGATCAGGACCTCTGAAGCGGTTATTTTGCGACTGATTGCACATAATCTCTCCTATTACATGGCTACTTACCTAATAAATAAATAAATGAACATGAAATTTTGAGTCGATTTTGTTTTGTTTTTTTGTATGTGAGAAGGAGATATAGCCATATTTACTAATAGCTTGCACCAGCACAAACCCTTTTTTTGCCTTGAAAAACTACTGTCAGGGTTTACTAGAGGTACGCAGTGAAACATTAGCAACGCAAATGCGTGGACATTTTTGTAGCTAACCTTATTACATAACCTTTTGTAGTTTCCCTTTCAAACGCAAAATTTACGGGAGAAGACTATTTAAATAAATCATGCAAGGTGATTTACTAAGGTTTATGATAGTCAGTTTATTGGTATTTGCACCATTATTTAACCCCCCCCCCCCCCC